TGTGCATAGCTGGATTTGGACTGAATTGGCAAAGAGATGACAACAGGTATGGCTGATTGCACCTCAGAAGTTGGAGGAAATGCATTTATGTCCCTTCTTCACTCAATGTGGAGTTTCCAACAGGCCAAAGCTTTGTGACTGTGGTCTCCCCTTTAGGGACGCTCTGCCAATGGTGTCTGAGTCTGCAGTGCTGCAGGAACGCCAGGCCTGGGGGACTGCTCTCCATGCACTTTTCACCCAGTGCTGGGAGCACCTGTCCTCAGCACCACCTCTGCCGGATGCTGGCTCCGCAGACATGGCAGGTGTGGAAAGCACAATGAGCCCCAGTCACAGATCTTGAGTCGGGTGCCTCTGGCCCTCTCTGCAAAGGGGGGAGGGGGACCATGGCGGTCTCTGACAGTCACAGTGTCACTTGTCACTTACAAGGCGGGCAGCATGGTGAACAGGGAAGGGCTCAAGGTTTAGAGTCAGATTTACCTGAACAGATGCCTTAACTTACTAGTCATGACGGGGGAGAACGTACCTGATATTCCTGGGCACCCACCTCCTATCTTTAATTAGGAATAACAAATAGTACCTGCTTCAAGGGCTGTTGTGAAGATTAACAATCATCCTGAATAATGGACAGTCCCATCCTCTCTGACCTTTTTCCCTTTTAGGCAATTATTAAGACCCAGAAGCCACTGTGATCATTCCTGGTGATTTGATGGATGAGTTGGAGGGAGCAGGTCGATGAAAGTGGGGCTCTTAGACCTCCGTCCTGCAGGTCACACTGCTTGAGGCCCTCTGAGGAAGAAATCTCATTTAAAAGGCTTAACTCTGGCCTTGAGGCTCAAGCAGAATTCTCTGAGTTCAGATTCACATTATTCAATGTACTCGGATCTCATTTTTCCTATTCAGTTGAATGGAGGCGGTAACTCTGCCCTCACCCTCACAGATGTTTTGTTTTTGAATATGCCTTACAGAGGAAGAGTATATAAGTGCCAAATAACAAATCAGGCTGGCATGGCAGCCCAAACTTAGACCCTCAGTCACACAGGGTTAATATTTCCACTCGATGAATTCCTAAAACTTGGCTTTATGGCAGCGGCATTTTCCACGGTCTCTTTCATCAGGTGGTTTTATCCCACAAAGGCTAACTGTACACGTGTTAAACAGATGTAATGTATAGATGTTTAAACAAAAGCAGGGAAGCTCTGAGGGACTGGAGTCAGGCTGCCTCCAGGTACACCTGTGTGATGGATGCTGGGCAGGGGCTGCTCTTGTTAGAAAGGTCAGCGTCCCCACATAGGAGCACCTGCCTCCTCTCTCAGGCAAAACAAACTATCGGCATTTGTTCCTATGCTGCTCAGCTAGCTGAAAAGTGGGGACTCAGGGTCGTCGGGGTTCTAAGAGCCAGGGTCCTCCATAGCTGGTGCCCAGGTGACACCTACCCTGGGAGGCGGGTGCAATAGATCGGGTGACAGATGAGGAGAGAGCAGGACAGAGAGATTTTGGAAGTGGCAGCAGAATGAATGCACACAAAAACTGGAGGAAGAAGGACTTCAGGATTGAAAGCCTAGATGTCTGAGTAGATAATGACATCACAGATCGGAAGAAACCACAGAAGATTTGGGAAGTGGGAGAGGGTGGAAAGACAATGACTTTGGCTTTGGGACCTGCTGAGTTTGAAGTTCTCAGGTGGCCAAGAGGCAACTGGAAATAGGAACCTTCGGCTCTCCGGAAAGATCGGCTTTTGCGCAGAGCTGGAGAAGGAGCTCTGCCTGTGGCAGTGCTGTTAGAGGTCTGTCCCCCAGTGGGTATTTGGAGAGTTTTTCCTAAGGAGCGAGCATTCTGTGAGGGGCCTGCTGTGGCCCACCAGGAAAACGCGAGGCTGACCGCAGAAGCATTGCTGGGTCTTCGTCACCCCATCCTGGTTCTCTCTGTTGTCAACATTGGTCAGCATGGAGCGATTTGAAACCATCTGCATATTGTCAGGGACAAACCCTTCAACTGGCAACCTCATAGTACCCCAAGCTTTCCTCCAAGGCTGGGTTCCTCCAACTCACAAATAACTTGGCTCATCACAGACACTTGAAAAAGAGGCCTGACGTGCAAGCAGCCCAGTACTTCCTCTTCTTGGTGAATGTTGTTGCAGAGCCTCAGGAAGGAGGAGACAGCCTAATGCATGGCACATGTGCTCAGCCTCCTTCCATTCTATATAATAAAAGCATAATATGCAAATTGAGTGAACGGCAGGACAACTGGTTGGCAGGGGGTGGGGCTGGCGAGCAGGGCTACCAGGCCAGCCAAGGCGTGTGCCAGCAGGCAGAGGGAGGGGATGGCGACAGGGGAGTGGGGGGGGGAGGGCAGTGGCGACCAGCAGCGTCAGAAGGGTTATGGGGGGGGCGGGGCCGGCTACTCGCGGGCTGGCACTGTCCCCTGATCGGTCCGCCAGTTGCCTCCTGCAGAGGGAGGCCAGACTGAAGCTTAGGCCTGCTCCCCAGAGGGAGAGGGCCTAAGCAGTCAGTCGGATATCCCCTGAGGGCTCCTGGACTGCAAGACTCCAGAGCTGAGGGACCCCCTTGAGTGTACAAATTTTTGGGCACCAGGCCTCTAGTTACTTTATGAAGTTACTTCTCCACTTATCTGAGAAAATGTAGACACCATTCAAGAGAACGTAACATTGAGGGGACATCTGTAATACTTTCCACAATAAAGATACATTTTTTAAAAAATGAACAAATGATCTGGAGACATTTCTCCAAAGAAGACCTATAAATGGCCAATAAACATAAAAAGATGCTCAACATCATTAGTCATTAGGGAAAGGCAAATGAAAACTTCAATAAAACAACACTTCATACCCTCCAGGATGGGTATCATCAAAAGTTCAGATAACAACAAGTGCTGCCAAGGATGTGGAGAAATTGGAATCATCATCCATTACTAGTGCAGCCACCTGGTAGAACAGCTGGAAGGTTATCAAATGCTAAACACCAAGCTACCATGCGACCCAGAAATTCTACTCCTAGGTATATACCCAAGAGAACCGAAAGCATGTTCACACAATAACGTGCACATGAATGTTCAGAGTAGCATTGTTCACAACAGTAAAAAAGTAGAAACAAAACATCAATTGATAAATGGAGGAATACAATGTGACATATTCATTCAATGGAATATTATTCAGCAATAAAAAGGAATAAAGTCCTGATTCATGCTACAACATGGATGAACTTCAAAAACATGCTGAGTGAAAGAAGACACAAAAGACTCCATATTATCTGATCACATTCTTATGAAATGTCAGAATAGCCTTAATGCATAGAGATAGGAAGTTGATTTGTGATGGCCTATAGGGCTGGAGAGGTGGGGGATATGGGAGTGGCTACTAATGGGTTTCAGGGGGAGGGTGTGGGATGAAAATGTTCTAAAATTGAATGTAGCGATGGTTGTACAGCTCTGTGAATGAACTAAAAACCATTTAATTGTACACTTTAAACTGTGCAGTATGTGAATTATATCTCAGTAAAACTGCTATTTTGAAAAAGTGGGGGGAAATAAATCTGCACCAAAAAAAGAGACCATGACATTGAAATCATACCCATCAGTAATGAAAATGGCTGAGATTAGCTCTGATATGTAAGCTGCTGTTAAATGAAAAAAGCATTCAATGCAAATTTAAGTTTACCCCACCAGCTGTGGTAAAGATACACACTCCTGCCTGTTAAATGAGGCCCTTAACTCTGATTTTAGTCCCTTTTAGTGTCTCCTGTGGTATCAGGATGGCTATGTCCAAAACTGCACTCCTGGGGTGCTCTTTAAGAACTGAATTGTTGCCCTGGCCAGTGTCGTTCAGTGGTTGGAGCATCAACTTGTGCACCAAAAGGTCACAGGCTCCATTCCTGGTCAAGGCAGGTACCTGGGTTGCAGATTTGATCCCCAGCCCCCTGGGGGGGGGCGGGGGGGGTGCATGCCAGAGGCAACCAATCAATGTCTCCCCCCCTCCCTCCCTCCCTCCTTCCTTCCCTCTCTCTGACTCTCCTACCTTCCCTCTCCCACTCTCTCTAAAAATCGATGGAAAAAATATCCTTGGGTGAGAATTAACAACAAAAAAAGAACTGAATTCTAAATCACATGTCCTGCTCTTGGAGTTCTGTTCACATATTTTAAAAGAGCTGGGCCCATGGAATGGGTGGAAGGGCTATTGTCCACTGGAAGACAGCCATTCACCCTAAATGTCTCTACGATTGTGTTTCAGTGAAGGTTTTTGACAGAAACCTTATAGAAGGTTCTGGCTCCACCACCTGGGGCTCCAATTCTGACTTTGCTTACATCTGTACTTTGCCCCAGAACCCATGACATGACCCCTCTGGCTTCACACAACCTTTTGCAAAACAATGTGATAAGTCTGGTGGATTTCCTGAGATTGTTGCAAATATTAACTACAAGAAGCAAATCTAGTTCCCTGTAGTTACAAAATAAAACTTATAATAGACTAGTGAACAGAAAATGACCATTGTTCTGATATATTCTGCCATATACCCCATCACTGGGAACTGTACTGATCTGTGGCTTACTGCTGGGGTTCAACTACTGTTTGGGATAAACTGGTAAGTTTCAAAAGGTCAACAGGCACTTGTGATAGACGGAAATAATATACAAGCTTTTGTCATGTAGCTTCAAACAGCCACCAAAACAGAACCCAAGAGTTCGTGTTATTATAAGATACTCAGTTTAGTTTGAGACGTATGTCCCCAGAAAAGGCAAAAAAAGGCTCGTTTCTTTATTTCACACAAGCAGCCTATGCAAGAGCACAAACACGTGTGTCATGCACACACACTGGCATGCCTCACACACTCACGCCCTATGTTTACATTATTGGAAATGTAGCTACTCCAGGACCTCTATTCCTGGTAATGAACCACGACAAACTTGATTTCTCTTTCTTTTGATCACTCTACCCTTCCAGACTTTTCTGAAGAAGAAAGAAAAAGAGAGACACCAGGGGTACATACCTGACACAGAAGTATAAAACCACTGGTCCTGACTTTTTGGGAAAGTCGTGTTCTAAGACTCTTCGATCTAGCTGGAGCCAGTTTAAGTGTCCCCTGAGGAAAATAGAGACAAATTGATTATGGCTTTGGATTTTATAGAAGTTTCTTGTAACAAAGGTATATGTACAGCAGAATATGCTGGATCACAGTTGAATATGGACCTTTGTCTCACTATGAAGTGTTCAATATTTGAAGAACCCAGAGGAGTGACCTGGGAACATGCATGAGTGGGAGATACCGTGCGACACAAGGGAGGAGACTGACACCCAGAAAGTCAGGGGTCGGAGCCCTAGCTGGTTTGGCTCAGTGGATAGAGCGTCGGCCTGTGTACTGACGGGTCCCGGGTTCAATTCTGGTCAATGGCACATGCCTGGGTTGTGGGTTGTGGGTGTGCAGGAGGCAATCAATGAGTGATTCTCTCTCATCATTGATGTTTCTGTCTCTCTTTCTCTCTCCCTTCCTCTCTGAAATAAATTTAAAAAATTAAAAAAGAAAGTCAGGGGTTGGAGACCTGCCGTCCATTTCTTAGACTGCACTAAAATTAAAGGGTACTGTGCTCCCACTCGTCCTGAATTCCCTTTCTACCTGGCTGTGGGCAGCTTTTTTCCCAAAGGACTCAAAACACACTTTAGAAACATGTCAGCAACTTCACAATATCTTGCTGGAAGCAGATGGGTGGAAAAGCCAATAACAGATAATTTCATAAGAAATTAAAGCATCTACCATATGAGCTAGCCATTCTTCCCCTAGGTGTTTACCCAAGAGAAATGAAAGCATTTGCCCATGCAAAGACTTTTACACACAGATGTTCAGAAACACATTATCTTTCCTAGCTCAAAACTTGAACAACCCAAATGTTTATCAACAAGAGGAATGTATAAACAAATTATGATATAATTATGTAATAGAATACTATGCAGCGATAAAGACTACTGATATACACAGCAACATATATGAATCTCAAATAATTATGCTGGGTAAAAGAAACCAGACTAAAAAAAGAGTACAAATTCTGTAATTCCATTTATAAGAAGCTCTAGAAAGTGCAGATTAATCTACAATGACAGAAAGCATCGTGGTTGCCTGGGGAGGGAGTGAGAAGGAAGGGTTGGAGGGCATAAAGAAAAGTTTAGGAGAGTGATGGATTATGTTCATTATCTTGATGGAGGGGGGTTTATTGGTACATATATGTGTCAAAACTTATCAAATTTTATACTTTAATATGTAACATTTGTTGCATGTCAGTTATACCTCATTATAGCTATTTTAAACAGTGAACCACAGATACTTGATATACAAATGGAGTGACTTGTGCATTCCTTCCTTCCTCCACTCCCTCCATCTCTTCTTTTCATTAATGTCAACTGACCACCTTCTCTGACAAAGGGTCTGAAGAGGAAGCAGGGAGCAAAATAAACATGATCCCTTTCCCCCTCGAGGTATGTGCTTGTACAGAGGCACTCAACCACTATTTCCACAATTAATTACATACTAACTAATAGTATTAGGACTATGACTTATGAGAACATGTAAGGATCTGATCTAGTTTGGGGGTCTGAGAAGCATTCCTGGCATTTGAGTGAGATTTGAAGAATGAAAAGAGTTAACTCAGCAAAGAGGAAGGGGAATCACTTTCTAAGAAGAAGAGCCAGCATATGCAAAGGCCCTGAGGTGTCATGTGAGGAGGAAGGGGTAAGGCTGGAGAGAGGCAGAGACCAGCACCTGGGGCCTTGGAGGCCACAGTGAAGACGTTGGTCTTTGAAGAGTGAGGCAGAACCGTGCTACAAGTATGTGCAGAAAAATCTACCCATTTTTTTCTCCTCTCCTCACCCAACCTCAGTCCAGCATCGTGGAGCCCTATAATCACGGTTACTCAGTAAACTCAGGTTGAACAGACACAACTGATTGTACAAAATCCCTTCAGGTGCCCGGTGCTATGTGACTCCGATGTTTAGAGTGCACAGACACATGTGGAAGGCACTTACTCTGTGGAGGATGAGAAGCAAAAGCTGTCTGCATTGCCCTAGTACAATGTTTGCTCCATCAAGCACATGCTGGCCTCCAAAAAATGAAAGAAAACACAGTAGGAGCTCCCATCTCTATTTTAAAAATTCATTTAAACTGTATCTTTTACACACACACAAAATAACTCTCTCTTTCACTTCAGCCTACACCTGTGGCCTAGGGATGATGTTTGGATTTGCTTTTTTCCCCTTCTTTTGAGAAACTCCATCTGGAAATAGATTTTTTTCTATAAACTTTTTTTTTTTCATTTCGGTAAGGGTGAAAAATAACAGGAAAAACATTTTTTAAGCTCTGGCTGGTGTGGTGCAATGGTTGGAGTGTCAGCCCAAGCACCAAAGGGTTGCAGGTTCGATTCCCAGTCCAGGGCACATACCTGGGTTGCAGGTTCAATCCTTGGCTCTGGTCAGGGTATGCGCAGGAGGCAACCAATTGTTGTGTCTCTCTCATATCAATGTTTCTCTCTCCCTCTCATATCTTTCCCGCTTTCTCTCTCTATCCTTCCCTCCTTCCTTTCCACTCTCTCTAAAAAGCAATAGAAAAAAAATATCCGCTGGTGAGGATTAACAAAAAAAAGTTTTTAAAGTAAAATGACTGAACTAACTTCTTCCAGAAATGGATAAATTCCCAGCCAACTAGAATACAGACCTGGAAAGAGAAGGCAGGAGTGCCAATTTTGTTTCTGGTAATACTGAAAATGGTGACCTCTGTGCCTTAGCTCATGTTGTCCCCTCTGGCTAGAATGCCCTTCCTCTCCTTCATCACCCAGCAAAGTCCGACCCATCCTTCTAGACCTAGCTCTCCTGTGCCTCCTCCAGAAAGTCTTCCCTGATGCACCCCCGACACACACACCTGCCTGGGACAGGACTCTCACAGCACCCATCCTGGGCACACCTCTGCTGCGGCATTTCCCGCAGTCCACAGAACTTACTTTGTGTATGCATTCTTTTCCCCCAATAGTTTTTTACATCTGAAAAATAAAGCAAAATGTACCTCATAAAGTAAAAGTGTTTTTGATCAACTAACAGGGGCAGGAAACCTTTGTTCTGCCAAGGGCCATTTGGATATTTATAATATCATTCTCGGGACATACAAGATTATCAACATAAAAATTAGCCTGCTTATATTTGGTCAAACATTTAATTAACTCACCCCTAATGCCTTGGCAGGGGCAGACCAAATGATTTCGCAGGCCTTACACGGCCCACAGGCCGGACATTCCTCACCCCTGAACTAGAAGGTGTTAAGACAAATGTGAGACCTAATTATTGGGGAATAAGAAGCTCCAGCCACTCCTTTCCTGCCTCTGAAAATGTCCCAAACCTCCCAGGATCTTCTCCGTGTGCCCAGCATTCTGCACACACGCCACATGCACGCTCTGCACGAAGACTTTGATCACGCTGTTGCTCATAATTGGAACAGTCTCTCCATCCTTTTATCTGAACGATAGCCATTGTTTGAGGCTGAGCTCAGTATAGACCTTTAGTGAAGTCTGCCTTGATTGCCTAAGTCTGGGCTTTCTTTCAAACTTCTCCAGAGCTCCTGGTTTGTGTCGTCTGCAAGGCATTTATAGCACAGTCGTGTACAATTAGTTATTTTAAAAAATATGATCTCTCTCCAGATATGTTGTAAGTTTTCAACATTTAAAAAAAATCCCAGAACCTAGCACAAGACCTGGCAAATAGTAGCTGCTCAAAAGCCCTTGCTCTTTGATTGGATGACTACCTCCAAAAGCGATGGATCTGTGCCCAGACCTTAATTTATAAAGCGGACTGAGTGACCACATGCAGAGGTCAATGCCCTGGAAGGTAAAACTGAATCTTACTCACAGTTCCCCTAGAATGAGAGGCACACCACGCAGGGCAGGGCCATGAGGGGAAGCGCCAGGGCTGGTCCTGAGGCAGGAGAGGAGTGAGGAGGCACAGACAGAGCCTTTAGTGGGGTTTCCATGGATGTCAAGACAAGGGGAAACCGTTCAGGTTGGCTAGTTTGAATGACTCTGGCAGCCTTAGGGGTATAGGGCTGTCCTGGCTCTCTGGTCCCTGGCCCTGGGTTGATTTGGGGCAGGGGAACTATTGGCTTGTGTGTGAGACCTAGATAGAGAGAGTGGTTCCGAGTATGGGCTCTGGACAGCAGGAGAGATGTGAGCAACTTCCACTGTGAGTTTGGCTCTGCAATTAATGGGTACTAAATAAATACAGAATCTAAGAAAACACATAAAAGCAACCCATCCAATGGCCACATAGATTTAAATGCATTCTTTTGCCTGTCAATGATTCTTGATAAATGGTCTGAGGGAAAGAAGCTTTTCATGATGCTCAAGAGATAAGTCCTGCTCCCACCCCAGGGGCATAACATGCCTCACCACACAGGCGGCTGGGAATTCCACGTGGTCTCGAGGGGCACAGTTCACTTGTTGAAGAACCTCAAAGTGGGGACATTTGCATGAGGGGACACTGAGATAGGTACCACTCTGTTGGGTTTGCTCCTGGCCTTTCTTCTTCATCCATGTTCACAGAGGCCAAATGGAGGGGTGGGTTCCCTCTCTGGATAATTTTACCCCCATACTAAACTTTTTAAAAGGATGACATTTTAGCAATGGATTTATTTAACTGGCAATTCCTTTCTCCCCAGCATATATTGGTTTATCATTTATCAAACAATAAACTGATTAGAAAGTATGAAAATAGTCAGCAAGCAGAGAGAACAAGGAGGCCAGAATCACCCCTAAATGGAATAAGGAAATAAATTTCCTTTCCCCACTCCCTTATTTGAACTCCTCAAGCCCAGTTCTGCGGGGTCGGCCTGATGTGAATACCCACAGGGCTCTGGTATCCATGCGGAGGGGGCTTCCCCACACCTGGAGTCCTGGGATCCTGAGGTAGAAGGAAGTCAGCTCCCTTCATTTCATGTCACCAAGAATCTCTCCACTGAAGGGACAAGTGACTCATCCAATGTCCCTTATGATAACTGCCCAATATTAGGGCAAAGGCTAAAAGATGGATTAAAAAGCAAACTGGAAACCCTAGCTC